AAGATTCTCGCAAGTGCTTTGATACGCGTATATCTGTATATATAGAATCTCGATTTAATAACTAAAACAGGCGTCTAAGGTAGGCTTCCATTACAATACCTTACTGATGAGTCCAGTATTGGAAGCCGGGACGAAACGCCAACATTACGTGATATTCTTCGCAATATATTAGAATTAATAGAATTAAAGATTTTAATGAATCTCAGGCTCGTAGCCCTATTCTCATATTAGTTTTAATAAATTAACTCTCAAGTACTTACTGCCGGTCACAACATAAGCTTTACTGTCTATACACCCCTTTGTCCACATGGGTTATGATTTATTTGAAATAGAAATACATATAATAGAAACATTGCACGAATAACTAATTCATTTTTTAAATTGATTTTAAATTTCGTGCACTCTATTGTACGGAATAGTGAAGCGCATATCATATAGCATGAAAATGTGATCTAAACGTATACTTACATCGCCATATTTTGTGACTGTGACAGATTTCCTAACCTCAACAGTCGTCAACTTTAACGCTTAATATCTCGGTTCGGAGGGCAGACCGGCACTTTTTATTGCCAGATTCGTTCGTTTTGTGCAAAAACGCGTCGAATAAGTGTATTTTTATCAAAATTTGAACTGAACGAGGTATTCTATACCTTTACCTAAATATCGAGAGAGAGAGAGACAGAGAGAGAGGGGGGGGGGGGGGGATGCTAGAACCTGTATTATCGACAAAACTAGCGTTTTTGACGTTTTCATTTCTCTCTAATTTCTTCGTATAGTAGTTTCGCAGAATAAAAATTTCTTCTCCACGATTTAAATATTTATGCTAATGTATCTGCCTCTAGTCTGTATTGTGTCCAAAGCTGGAAAAAGTATGAAATCATAGATTTCTTTATCCATTTAACCTCCAAGTATGGCGACCAACGCTGAAGATAAAAATGTATAAAGAAATGTGTAATTTTATACTTTTTCCAGCTTTGTGGACACAATATAGACTAAGGACAGATACATTAGCATGAATATTTTAATCGTGAAGAAGGAATTTTTATTCTGTGAAACTACTGCGAAGAGGTTTGACAGGAACGAAAACGTCAAAAACGCTTGTTTTTTTATCGATAATACAGACGGGTCCAGCATCACTTAAGCGAAGATTAAAGTTGTCATTACCGACTAAACCACATAAAATAAAAGTAATTATAAGGTTCAATATGTATAAAATAGTATAAATATAAAAAGAGTAACGAGCCAAGTAATTTAACGAATAATTTAATTTAAACAATGTCATATAAACATAATAAAAACAAACGTTTCGATTCCGATCGGCTTATTTTCAATGTTACATAAAATATGAAGTATTATAAATTAAAATATATTGTGTGTGCGTGTGTGTACATTCTCTATTGAGTCAAAAAATATATATTCTCAATTCAATGCAAGTTTCAGTCAATGTTGGTGTTATAAGCACAATTAATCCTAATAGAAAAAATACATATAAAAACAAGGAATTAACAATATTCTAAAACATAAAGTGTAGATATAAAAGTTTTTTACCTTGTCAATAATAAAAGAAAAAGAAGTAACATGTCCATAAATAAAAATTCCAAGTCACAATAGTAAAAAATATTATAATTAAAAATTAAATAAGATAATTTGTAACACACACATATATATATGTAAATATATATATATATATATATATATATATATACATTATATATACACACATATTAATAACACATATTCGAAAATTGTTTTCCAGGATTAAAGCATACGCATTAATATTATCTGTGAGGTAGAATCTATATTGAAAATGACAAAAAATTTCGAAATTGAATTCTATTTTACCATTTCTAAGTGCAATATGGCGTTCCAGAGGTGTCACGTCGTTGCACATCGTCACAACATTTATTTCATATAAAAGCTATACGATCTGTACTTACGAAATAGTAGTCCACAGACTAGTATAAGTTTGCACGAAGAAACGATGTGGAATTCTTAAAATTGCATTTAGGTGCAGTCTAATCAAAATGTAATTACGATACGAAAATTTATGTATATGTGTGGTGTGCGTGAGTGAAATATTGATGTAGTGATGTGTCACTGTCAATGACATATCACTAATCGTCTGTGTGCTATTTCCAATATGACTAATCGTCTTTAGACTAGAGCTGCGTTCGGTAATTGCAAATCTGAGGCGTCGGAGTGCTCTTATATTATAGTATATGTCACGTGCACTGTAGAAAAAGAGCACTTCGATGTCTCAGATTTACATTGCGGAACGCAGCTATTGAAGAATGAGATTAAAGACTGAAAGATTACAATTGGACCAATCGAAAACAAAAAAAGCCAAAATTTTTTTGTCCTCATTGGTGAAATTTCAATCTTTAATCTTGAATCTCTGATTCTGGCCTTAGAATCCCCTCTTAGCACATTATCTATATTTATATACATAACTAAATACTTTTCTCACATAATACTTGTACATATGTATACCTAAATACCTTTCAAATGATATCTGTTCCAACGTGATTTCAGTAATTGACGTAGATATCATAATTACGTACTCCCTATTTTGGAATTTATTTTGTCTTTTCTTAATAAAAATTTAGTTTAGTAATATTATAGTTTGATTTTTGTAATTAAACGGTATATATTATTGATTATCTAAATCAGTACTTGCAAGCAAAAACTATTTTATTTTTTTTGCTATCTTTATCTTATCGCGCGTTAACAGTTTGACTTATCAATAATTTATGTATCAGTAATGACAAAATATATAAATACGCAAATTAAAACTGTTACCACTGAAAGTAAAAAACGTTACACGATAAGTTACCTACTCAGTTTTAAAACATATATTTGTACATGCTTTTTTTTTCTCGTTGAACAAATATATTAACCAATTATTTTCTTAAACAAATGAAATAAGTAATTTCACGGATAAATCTCAAATGTAAAGCATATATTAGTAAAGTATCGTGACATATGTTTCAATATTTAAACTTTGCTAACTTTTTCTTTCTCTTCAGTAAGTAACAAATTTGGTATTATTGACGTATATATTATTATATATACGTCAATATATTTATTATCAACTTATTTATTGTCATTACATTTAAGATGACTCTACACGGTTAAATATATTACTGATCATGTGTAGTTAATTAATGCCGAGACACTATCATGTCTCCAGATATCGATAGATTGACGAATACTGACGTACAGTGGATTGAAATGAGAAAGTAGGTGAACATAGATCGAAAAATAAATAGAAATTTTAATTTAATAATTTTATCCATTTAAATGGGTTATAAAAAATACTTTTAATTCATAATCCGAAAGTAAGAAATATATATTAATAACTATAATAATATATAGATAATCTACACATATACAAAGTATCACATGTCTATGATAAGTGAAATTTGTGAAGTAGAAATTATCTATTTGTATTCACTGTATTCCGTAATATAAAAAATATATATGCTTGTCATCTATATCTATTGTATTATATAATCCCTAATTTTATGATCCTTTTCGTACATTTTTATTTTTGTTTCCAGATTTCCATACAGAAGCGTTTTAAATAAAAGTTGAATAGTTTCAACGGTACTTTGTAATATATTAAAAACTTTTATTATTATTACCATTATTATTATTATTATTATTATTATTATTATTATTATTACGTATTCTTAAAAATGTTTAACTTTTCTTAAAAAATCTTTAATGTTTTTATTTGTTTAGACGGTATTTATTTAGAAATAATAAATTTATTTCACTCAAACTGCTTTCTAAATAAAATTCCATCTCTGAACAGATTTTCGGTCAATATCCACTGAATTAACAGTATCGTTCCATTATGTGACGAGCATTAATATTGCTTTATTAAAATCCATATTACAGTATCGGTATGTCACAAATGTAATAAATAATTCACATAGAACGGAAGTGATGTACATATGATGAGTCTAGTAGTGGGAAGCCGGGACGACAACTTGTAATATTCTTCGCAATCTTATTTTCACAGTTTTTAATTTATCATTACTTTAACATTACATCGTTAAAAATTTAATATGTCTTTCAACATATTATTAAGATCCTATTAATAAGATGCTATAAGCATCAAAAATTGTTAGATTGCTTGTCAATTTAACTAAGTGATATTACTACTACAGTAGTTGATTAGAGTTGCGTTGTAAAACCTATCGCACATGAAATGCATAACAGTACATAAACATAACATAAGACCGCTGGACCAATGAGCATCTTATGTTAATCAATATGGCAACTTTATGCTGGATGTTTATTGGTCCAACAGTTTTATGTTATGCTCATGCTCTATTATGCATTTCATGTGCGATAGGCTAAGTCTGAAAGAATTTCGGTACGCGATAGGGGATTACGTGGTAAATAAATTCACACTACAACAAGTCTTATTAGCCCTTTTATTCTTGTTATTTGATATACATAATATATTATCAATAATACGTATAAAATAGGTAGCACAAAAATACTAAAAATATTAATGGAAACTATCGATATTATTAATTTAATATTACAATATGACAATATAAGTATTACTGAACGTGTAGAATACTTTTTATGTAAAACATACTAGATAAATATATATTGTATGTATATATATATA